GGCCTGTTATCGCCTGACATCACTTTCTGCGCGCGAAACCTCCAACCTTGAAAGCAACAAGATCGTTTTGCCCACGAGCAAGCTTCCCGGAACTTTAGAACGGATGCCTTGCGAACGATGGGGCCTAGGAAGAGTAGCGCTGCCATATATTTTTTTTTTTTTATTCTGTTTTTGATTTTACGAACGGTTTCGGAATATATGACCGAATACCGTTTTGGCATCTCCACAGAACTAAGATTTAGTGACACTATGAATGTGTCATTGATAGTAGGTATTCCATGCGTAATTATGCATAAATATATAGGACAACGATAATTTATTTGTTATGTTTGTGAACACGGAAAATACATAAATGAATTAATTAATATATTTATAAAAGTATCTGTTTCACATTTTTTCTCAAGAAGGTCTTTCTCGCGCGCTTCATGGGTAACAACACAATCATTTAAGTACTGACGTGTGCACTTATATGGCAGAATTTTTTTTTATACAAAAGAACTTTACGTTAATTTACCTTAATTACTTTTCTCGATTAAATTTTCCCTATAATAAGGGACGTGCTTAAATGCATATATGCTTCTGTGCAACCCTGCTGTCATTGCTGCCAAAAAAAAAAAATCTTTTTGATAGGACAGGTTAGCAGTGCTTATATTATAAATTTGAAATAAACACCCGTGCCAAAACCACCGGTGCATTTCCAATGAGAGGGGCCGCCATCCCGTGCTCGCCTGGCGTATAAATGATCAGTGACTCGTCATTCGTAATCTATAGATAGTATTTCGGATGAAAACATTATTTCAAAGCAAATGAGGGCGAAATTACAGTCGATGTGCCATAGTGAATCGTTAATTAAACAAGAGTCCCACCTACACCAAATCTATGACGTTGCGCTTAGGCGGTGGTGCAGCCTGTTGAACGGAGCATGGCCGAACGCTTCACACTTCGGAAAATGGGTACATGCAGCGCGTCGTGCGCGGAGCTCTTGTGTGCAAACGCGTGCTTGTTTACACGCAATGAGTTGGTGTACACTCGATTCAAAGGTCAAACTGTTCGTGAGAGATTATTCGGCGTGAGGTCGGTCTGCCTTTCAAGATTTGCGACACTGGTTCACGCTGTACATGAGACATGCGTAGCTATACTCTGTTTCATACTTAGCGTGCAACGCTGTGAAAGCTACTGGCGCGAGCGCGTGGCTTCATCTATGGTTTTGTTTGAGCGAGAACGCGTGCAAATGATCAACGAGATCAAGCCCCACGCTCGCGCCAGTAGCTCTGACAGCGTTGCACGCTAAGTATGAAACAGAGTATAGTGCAGCACGACCGCTAACCTGAGGTCGTTAACGTGCATCACGCGCTATACTTAGTTTCACCTCCGAATGAACCGCAGATGCTGTTTCAGTGCTTGTGCACCCGCGAGCGCTCGTGTGCCCGCCGAGGCGTCATCCAAAACAATTAGCTCGCGCTTTTAGCACGTGTGACCAACAATGGTCCATGCTGAGTTGAGACGAAGTATTCCTGGTGTTCATAGCACGTTCTACAGAATGAGCTTGCGCTCCTCGTGCTCCTAGCTCCAACCAGTCAGCGACACGCGCGGGCTAGCGCGTAAACCTCCCTTTGAAACAAATATTTCTAGCGCAAGCGGTCATTCCGCGAAAACACCTCGGAAGGCTGCACTTTCGTACCGGTAGCCTTCGCTGTTTAAGGACAAGCCTCGGGCACGTGCAGCATTCGCGCGGAAATATATGTTGGTGGTGTTGTAGTATTTTGAAGTGCAGGAGAAAAGCTGCAAGCCACCCGCATCTATTTCACAAGCAGAGTGCTCGCGAAAGTAGCGTAAGTGCTTTTAACGTAAGCTACCACTTTTAGAAACAGATTGTAATTGTGTGAATAATCTTCTTTCTTTTTTTCCCAAAAAATTTATTTGTGATAGGAGTGATCTCCGAGAATACGGGTCACCAGTGGTACCTGTATAGTGCCATATTGGCGTGATATTTGAGTGCTGTGCTCTTGATGGATCGTGTTCCTTCTTATTATTCCTGTTTTTTTTTTCTTTTTTTCTTTTTGCAATTTGAGAACTGGACTTTTATGTAGTCGGACGCTGTGTTTCTCTACCTGTGACAATTTGATAGTTTATGTACGAAATTAATCCCTAAAATAATGCCCTCTGCACACCGTAGGTATTTTATAAATAAATAGAACAAATAAATATCCGCGGGAAGGGTGCGCTAATAACTGATTGAATAATTTTCGATTAGTCTTTCATAGGTTGGCACTTTACGACAGTTAATCATTCAAATATTAAGCTGAGATCTGTTTTTGTAGTGAAGGCAACGTGGAAACCGTTCGCGAGTTTTAGAGATTCGAAGAGCTATATCGCTGTAAAACGCCAAACACTATCCAATGTACTTTTTTTTTTTTTTCGGACATGTTGGTTTGAATATATTTACTGTGGCGGATGCTTTCAACGCGTGAGCTCTTGTTTAGTGGGGACATTCCTTCAGTAGTGCACCCGCTCTCTCTTGCCTCGGTATTACGCAAATCATATGATTAATAACCCCTCCAACTAGCAATCCGGAAAATGGGTTTCATCGACGTGTTTTATCCGCTATGGCAATCAGTTTGTTGGAGGATGCTTCATCGACAAAATCGACTCGTCGGCACCCTGTGCTGTCCCATCGACGGTTTCATTAAAACGAGCGTTGTATCGTTTCATAACATAGCTTGCTTTGTGGTAGCATTTATGGGCGAGCCCTGCGCACTTTACGCGCCCGTAACGGTCCGCCGGTCGGTCGTTTGTAACCATACAACAGATTGGAGCCACCACGTAACCACAGTGGAAATAGCGCTCCATATAATAGTCACAAGGTCACGTGACTATAATCCATGCGGGCGATGTAAACATCCTCACTGATGAATCCATGAATCCCGAACAAGAGCTCTGCCGGACAAAAGCTTTTATGACCCGTACTAAACCTCAGCACATTTTTTCCAGAGACCCGGATAAAAGTACATCATTTTACGACTACACATGAGCAAAGGGTGCATGAAGAATTTTTTTTATTTCATTGCCGATCTTGATATGAGGACCGTATGTTTGTTTCTGGGGCCGAAAACTGCGATCAGAAATGTCTCGATATGGGTTCATCGGCGCCGCCAAATGGGGCTGCCGATGTCCGCGTCAATGCCTCGCAGTTCTGTCGCGGCCAAATGCATGGGACCTTTCGCTCCAGATTATTATGTTGACTCTATGACCTCGAGAGAAAAGCTTCGTACTCTAACTACGGGTTTATGGACTCCATTTCGTGTCCAGTGAAGAACCCCGGTGCGATTGACAGGACAAGAACATATTCTGAAACGTGGTTATACAAGGACGGCTCTATGACTTTACGGCACTACTGCTGCCACAATAACACGCCGAATGCCTCCAACATGGCACCAAGGCACTGATAGCAGACGATAACGTTGTTTTTGATTCAGAGTTTAGCCGGAAATAACGTCAACTGCAAAACGCAAAAAAAAAAAAAAAAAAAAAAAAAAAAAAAACGAGCACAAAGAAGTATGAGTGCACACTCGGAGCGCTACTGGCTACTGCATTTTATTTGGAAAACACGAACATATATACACACATCATTATACCTCACCCCAAATGAATCTGATTTTCTTGTTTGATGAAACGAGTGACGACGCACTGATGCAACCGTCATCCTTCTTTACACTGATTTTGAATGCCTCGAAAATTTTACCCTCTGTTTTCGGTACCTACTTGCCCGGAATAGGTATTTTATCTAGCAAGAAATCATACGAACGCTTATCACAGTGGACTGCCAAGTTCCACAAGGGAGACCGCTTTACAGAAAGTTCGTGCCCTGTGTACGATCTGGTGGTGCACGAAAGCACCCAATGTCAAAAGCCCGTGCCAAATGCCCCACGACTGACACCTCACCCTTTAGCCCCGCCTTTAAAAGGCTAGCTTGATCAGAAGCCCATGACGCGAATCCCGAGATCACATGGCCGGGTCCTCACCGTGACGGCGGAGCATTCTGCTTTTAATTAAGAGACAGCAAGTGTGCACGGGAGCGTGTGTAACGTAATCATGCCGTCATTTGTAGACCCTCAACGTATTAGCTTAAGACATGGAACAATGCTGGTTGAAGCTCGCACAGGGATTCTGCACGAGAGGCTATAATGCTACACCCGTACGATCGCCCACATGTGGTTGGTATTTTAGACTACCGATCTGGCGCAATCCACATGTTTGCGTGCATGTTTTTTTTTTGTTTTTTTTTTTGTGCGCATGTTTTGCTGTTTTGTTTATTTTTGAGCTTCGCTGGTGCTCCAAGGCCACGCGAAAGTGGCTGACGATTTTCTTGAAAATCATATTGCCTCTTTTTTATTCGTTGGGAGACATTTGATTTATCATTCTCTTTTTAATGTTGACATTAGACTTCAGGCTGAGTTCGGAGCGTCGTGTCTGCCAGACTCCTTTTGTCTTCTTGCTAGAGCTGTCATGTCTAAGCAATCTCTACCACATTGGTTTTTTGGATATCCGGCAAGCAGATACCAGCAGAGACAAACGAAAGAATAGACCATTTGCAGTCCTCCCAAGCGCCCCGGCGCGCGCGCGAGGAATCTTGGGATCGGTGTTCTGTCGGCCCCCGTCGTCTGGCTGCTCTCCGTTGGAATCGCATCACCTCGCTCTAGACATACTTTTCATCTTCGTTGTTTATACTTAATAATCCTCTTTTTTATCTACTCCAGTGTATTTTTCTTGTTCATAAGTGTATCTATTTCGTTCAGCGCTTTGTATTTCTTCTGTATATTACGTGTTTTTGTGCATATTCCATCGTTTTCGACGCGGCCGTCGACGGACACCACGCCGCTTCGTTCGCCGCTCCCGGGGTGAGTACTGACTGTTGCCGTTACGCTCTATCCCGCTCCTAGGCCGTTCATTTAACTCGTGTGCGGTCGCGAGAGAGCAGTTTCGAACATCACTACAAATGTCACCGCTGTAAGCAGAGAAATAAAGTAGTCATCACGAAGCGAAGGCCGACATGCCTTCGCTTCGTGATGCGCTCGCCCTGTGAAATGTGAGCGTGGGATATCGAGTACTGCTTGCGTGCTCAACATTCGGGACGGTGCTTTGTCGTTGCGATCTTTTTGCCCTTCGGACGCTTGCGAAGCTGTACCAGCGGTCGGCGTGCCTCGGCAGCGCTCGTCAACAACCGTCCGCGCGGCGTCACTTTTCTCGCGTTCGCTGACCGTCCGCGAGCGCCGGTGATTCATCGTCGCGGCTGGTATGCGTATGTAGTACATCGCATAGCTTCACAATCGCTCTTAACAGCGGTTGTGAGTTGAGCGGGCCCTTAGCAAGCGAGTTATGTCAGCAACTGCAACTTTGAAACTGATGGTCACTTCACTTATTTATTTCACTATTCGAGATGTCAGCTGAATGTAGTATCTTCTTAGGTCACCCTCAGAAGCCACATGACGGGCGGTACAACCTGCTGTGTACCGGGCTGTGCCCACACCACTCTCACTGCCAAGCATGTGTCCTGGAATCGCTTTCCGAAGAACAGCCATCTACGCAACATTTGGGTACAGCGAATCAACAGGAAAGGTATTTACCATATTTTTTTACTTGTTATCTACACTTTCCTGACAATGATCAGGAAGGTACAGTGTGTGTACTGTCCGACGTGGCCCAAGTCATTTTACCCATATGTACAACATACCTGCGAAACACATTTTTTTTAAAAATAAAAATAGCATTCATTATTTTTGACCTATAAGTGCAACATACGACTGAAACAAAAAAGACAATCTCAAAGAATCCCAGATGTTGCATGTGCCCTTTTCACTCTCTTGGCCACTTCCACCTGCACCGACATACCAATATTTGATTGCATCGCAGGAATGTCGCTTCATCTCACTACCCTACAGCTAAAGCAAAGATACTCTCACAGTGCTTCTATCATTTTCAGCGTGCATCCACTCCAGGTTTGTTAGGCATAAACTATGTGCTTGTTCTTAGTGCCCGCTGCACAATGGTACTGGAAGTGTTTAGAAGGCGGTGGGGTGACGATGGGGGAGGAGGAGAACTGAATTCTACCCCCTTGCCCGGATAGTTTACTGACGCCCCTGTTCAGACGCCACGGCTGCTGCATCCATTCTTACCACTGAGATTGAGTTGCACTTGCTCCAAAGTTGAATGGGTGAATCTTAATATGGTGCTAACTGCTTCTTTTGCATGCAGGTACCACTGGACGGTTCTCTCTGTGGACGCCAACCTCTGACAGCAGAATATGCGGCGCTCATTTTAACGAAACTGGGAGAAAGAAGTACGAGGACAAAGCTCCCCGGTTTTTTCCAACCAGGACATTTCCGAAGTGTATGTTATTTGCCTATTTTTGTTTCTTTCTGCAATAGTTGTTTTTCCCTGCTTATATTCTTGCTTGTGATCACTGTATACATGGGTCGTTTCTCACGTGAGCTACGTCACTGCTGGTGGCGTCTGGTGATTTGTGGACAGCGGTGCTACCCAGTGAGCATGGCGAAATACGTGACCTACGGAAGCAATCATCGCTCTCATAGAAAAAGACGGAGCTTCAAGCAATCGTAATGTCAGATTTTGTAGAGCTGCAGACATAATAACAATGTTTTGTCTGAATACATGAGATCTCTCAACGGCTAGACGACGCAAATGGACTGCAATCGAAAAGAGGTTTTGCGACGTGCGGTTAAGTAGCATCAAGGATATCACTGAAACTGAAAAAGTATAACATTCTCGTCCGTCATTAAATTTGCAGTGGGAATAGGTGGCATATAAACCTACTGACTGCCTTTTTCAAGGATTTGGCTTGGCTTAGCTAGCTTGCTGCTCAAGGCACCAGGGGATGTCGCTCTGCTGCCTTCATCTCTGATGGCCCCAAATGACAGCTTTTAATCCAGCTCTCTCGTTGTGGAAAGTAGTGAAGGCTCTGCATGTTTCCTGTCGTACATTGAAGTGCCAGCTCATCTCGACTCTAAATAACAGCAGTGTGTTTGAACGGTACCAGACGATGCTTCTTTATATTTCCGACTGCTCTATCTGACACAGTCGGTCACAATGCAAGAGGACTTCAGCGAGCTGGAAAACACTCTCTTAGCACATAGAAAAACATAGGAGAAAATGTACCAACATGAATTCTAGAAATATTTTGAGCGAAAACTGACGTCAGGTGCAAGGACTCTATAATTACTGTCCACCGTGTTTGCTTGACTAGGCAGCTTCCTAGTGACCATTCAAGCAGATAGAGTTGGACATGCCTTGTCAGGAGTTTGCGGTCGTAATATGCTTGAGCCAACTGCTTTGTAAGAAGTTGCAGCTGTGCATATCGTTCGTGTCACAAATGGAAACACATATGAATGCGGAAATATAATTATGTTTAATAAAGGGCCCTTTAGGCAAGTATGGACAGCCTAAGATGGCACCGAATATAGTCGATTTCACAGTAACATGGCAGGTGGCAGACTCTATAACCCCTGTGAACTGATTGAAGTGTTGAAGTCAAATGTATGTGACAGCTCTTTACTAGAGAAGTGTACTCTGATTGGCTCGCTTGGGACAAACCTTTTGTTGTGTGCCAAACTATGTTGAATAAGGATATAAACTTTGTTCCCTTCTTTTATACGCCGGTGGCTGTTGAATGCACTTCGTCTCAGAAAGAACTGCAACAATCGCTATTTGGCTACAACATTCCAGACCAGCTACCAAAGGGTAGAAACAGTGACCGCTATTGATCCAGCTGAGCTCTTGGTTGTTTGACATGTTATGTGCTCCGTACAGTGTAAGCTGTGCCCTGTGCTAGACAGAATTCCAGCCGGTATGTAATGCTTATAAAATAATTGCGTGAACAATTGCCTTATCCTTGCCTGCAGATGTTGCGGCCTGCCCAAAGGTCCCAAACATGATCTGCGCAAGGAAGCGCCATGCGCTGCAGCCGCTGCCGGCCTACTTTCTGTCGGACCTTGACCTGGCACAGACCGTGACCCTGCCTGCTAGCCAGGAGCCAGCACAACCCGGCAGCCCCTTGGCCTCCGCTGGTGCCCCTGACACTGATGATGTAATAGCTAGCGGTAAGCTCCTAACATTGAGCATCAGTGTTGCTCGTCTGTTTATTTGGCATCCCTGTCAACTGTGCAGCAGTCCCGATAGGTGCATGGAACACTTACATGCAGTACGTCGAACTTTACAAACTGTACTAACTCAGTCACCGCTGGCTATAGCACGCAAGTTGTGGCCGTTCCATACTCGCAGCACCATATGGCACGGTGCACTCTAAGATACCGCACATGCAAGGTACCCGCGGAGTTGTTCTTTCAGATTGCGGTCACACCCTCACTTCATTGTCTGCCAGGTACAAAGGAGATGCTGCCACAGCCCTGCTTGCATGTTATTTGCCTCAAGATCCAGATTGAAAAGTGGGGACACATGCTTTTGTTTATCCATTGTTTCCTACAAGACAAGCGGCGATTCTCTGGCGTCCACAAAAAAACCATCCCCACTTTTGTTATGGAGCACGGGCAAGGCTATGCATGCTCTTAGAATTCGCAGTTGACTCCAATGCATGCGCACGAACGCTGCACCGGAGCCTCTCAGGGCTTCGAGTTAGCGTCCGCAGCATTCTCCGTGCTCCAAGTAAGTGTAGAACAAAGCTTAGTTCCGCATTTCCCCGCAGCACCCCTGACGATCGGATCTCAAGGCGAATAGCCAGCATTCCCATTATAGCTCCTTCGTGTGGAACAGAGCAGCATTAAAGAGGTCATAAACCGACTCAGTTACTTCTGCTAAATGCTGCTGTCGCACAATAAAGCTTGAGAACAAGCAATATTCTGCTCTTCCTCACAGCCAGGTAAAATAATCACATGATTACTGTTAGGGGTTAGCTGCTACTGTTGGCGCAGTGATTAGACACAAGCCCAAGCCCCAATAGTTACCATGGCATTGATTGTAACCAAATAGTCAGGTGCTCACTCAGTGCTTGGGTCCAGTTCATAAGCCGTCTGTATTCAAGTGTCGTCACCCTGGTGTGAACCCTAGGCTTTCTCAACATTGTGATTTCTGACTGTAAATTAGCCTTCTATTCCTCAGAATATAACCTTGGCAGGGGAGCCTCTGGTTTGTGGTATATAGATTATTATATAGATTATATTTGTGCTACAGACGTCAGTATGCTTGTATGAGGTGCAGAACATCCAAATGCATATCGTTTCTTGGCCCCTTTAACATGTGATGCTTTTTTTGTATGGCACATGATATGCTATTTGGCAGAGCCAAGGCAATTACAAGGAGAAAGCCTAGTTTTTTGTTTTGATATTTGACTGCAAAAATGATGTGATATTTATTTTGCTATCTCCCCATCTGGCAGACCACCAGTACAGCATCACAGGATGTATCGATCAAGCCCTGCGTGATCGCATCAGGCAGCTAGAGGAGCTCGCTTCTGCAAACGAGAAACTGCGCAAGGACAACGACCGTCTACAGAAAGAAAATGAAGCTCTGCGGAAGAAAGTAGCCCATCTTGAGGAGATGTATGACAAAGCAGAGGAGGTCATCGATGCTACAATCCCCTTTCAGAACTTCACGCTCACAGCCGTGCAACAGGACCCAAAGAAACTGGCCTTCTACACGGGATTCGACTCCCTGGAGAGATTTCTCGCCTTTTACAAGTTTGTTCAGGCAGGTTATGAAGCTCACAAGGAAAGTCAAGGTCCGCAGAGAAGGTCACCTTATCTATCCATGGATGATCAGCTGCTGCTCGTGTTGTCCCGCCTGAGGGTGGGACTTTTGGAGCAGGACCTTGCATACCGGTTTCGTATCCACATCAGCACAGTCAGCCGGGTGTGGACATTCTGGATTGGTTACCTAGCGGACTACCTTGCTCAACTCAACTACTGGCCGTCGCGACAGGTTGTGAACAAGCACATGCCGGAGTGCTTCATCGAGGCGTATCCATCGACGAGAGTCATTCTGGATTGCACGGAAATCTTCATCGAGACACCTAGCGACTTCAGGGTGCAGAGTGATACCTACTCAAGCTACAAGTGCCACAACACTGCCAAGGGACTGCTGGGCATCACCCCCAATGGGTTCGTGTCGTTCGTGAGCGACCTTGCCCCTGGCCGCGTCTCTGACAAAGCCCTGACCGCATGTTCCGGGCTATGCAACCTTCTTGAGCCCGGAGACTCTGTCATGGCGGACAGAGGCTTTTTGATCACTGAAGAGGTCGAAGCTGCAGGGGCTAACCTGAACATTCCACCTTTCCTTGGGGGAAGGCTACAGCTCTCCCTGGAGGACGAAGCGAAAACTAGGGCGATTGCGAAGGTCCGGATCCACGTGGAACGAGTGATTGGACAAATGAAGTGTTTTCGAATCTTGAGGGGTACTTTCCCAAACAGTATGAGCAAGAGCCTGGACTCTATCTGGAAGGTCTGTGCTTTGCTGTGCAATTTCACGAGAGAGCCACTGCTCAGTCGAAGCTAGAGCTGCAGTCTTGTGGCTTCGTAGATGGTCGTGGAGAAAAAAGAGGCCATATCTCTCTATCTAGCTCACTTCAGCTCCGGCAACTTTTTGTGCCCACACGCCCTCATGACCCATGACGACCATTAGCACCGACTACGGCCCTCGGGACTTTCCTCTACCCAACGAAATGGACTCACAACCCACCGAGGCCACGCTGGCTTCTCCCGCTGTCTGAAGCTTACCGCTCAATGCACCACCCACAGCCGGTGCAACCACTCCTGCCGTCACGTCGCTTCTTGATGCACCACTTGTTGCCGCGTGAATTCAACCTGCGGTCTTTACTCAGAATCCATTCTCCATCCTCGGCGACGATGATCCCGAAAGCAAGTTGTCGCCCCTCAACAACAGTTGCCACATCCGCACTGCCGCCAATGAAACGAAGCGTGCTCGTGGCATTTTTTTCTTCGGCGCCGCTGCGACTAAGCTTACCACCTCACCCCGGTGCATCCAACGTGACTCGAACCCTGACTCGTTCCCCCTGGAGGACGGATGGCATCCTGTCTCTCGCCGACGTAAGGCGGCCCCGCCCGCGGCGCCTCCAGCAGCATCGTTCTGCAGTGAGTTCTCCCACACTGTCATTCTACGGCCGGCCAAACCATGCCGCATCATGGACGGGGTCTTTCTTGCCATTGACTCTGCAGTTGCTGCACAGATAGACCTCAGGTCTCCTACACCATTGCAGCCCCCTACCAAGTGAGGTACCTCGACTGCAGTAATCAACTTGCAGTTGATGCTGCTTTGTCTCAAGTGTGCGATGCATTCCTCAATGTAACATACATCCCGATCGGCACTCTGCAGGTCTCCGTGCAAGGCTACGAGGCCATTCGCCGTGGCCAGGTTCGCGGATTCATAAAAAAAGTCTGGCGACCTGGATTCTGCGTCCTAAAAAACCTTCATTGCCGGAAATCTGCTATCCTCCAGGCCGGTCCTCTCACAAACTCTGGGTCGGCACTCATTACATTCGACGGCACCAGCCTCGCGTTGCCCAGTGCCCCAACAGCACCCAAGCCAACGGCACAACACAGCGTCGTCAGTTGCCTTCATCAACATCCAAAGAGAAGCCGGCGTCACCACCAGTGACGCCTGAAACTAGCTCCTGCTCAGCAAGCTGTGCTGTTATCTGCGCCCAAAGCCCTCATCGCAGCACCGAGGTCTGCGAAGCAGAAGACTGACTCCCGCCCGGTGCTCGCCACAAAACTCCTAACGCCGGCACACAACATCACCGCCGACCTCACACAAGTCCCAACATCAGAACCGCCTCGGACCACCTTCGCAGAATCAGCGAGAGCTGTCAACAGCACTAGTGAGACGCCTGCCCTACTTCCGTCAGGGTCAGACTTTACTGGCTTGCAACAACAAATCACCCTTTTCACAAAACAAATGCTGGCAGCCACGCAGCGAATTCCGACGATGCAAAACTCGCTGTTTACTCTCGTGGATACCTGCACCCGTGCAGTAATCGGGCGCCTCGCGATGCAGGGCATCATTCCGTTCGGCGGCCCCCCACTATCACCACGCAAACATGGTTAGCGCCCCCAGGATTGTTCAGTGGAACTGTTGCTCGCTTAAACAGAAGAAGGCAGACTTCATCGAAAAATTTTATCTTCACTCGTCATCCGACATGGCCGCTGCGTTTGCTCTACAAGAAATCAACGGCCCCCTCCCTTCTTTGCCACAGTACGATGGACTTGCTCCGAACATTGAGACTAGTGCCCCCTTGCCTTGGATTCGTTCCGCCCTGTACGTTCATCGATCAGTGTGCTTCACTCTTCTCGACACCTCACAGAGGTGCTCTGCAATGACCAGCGTTACGGGTTGCCGCCAATTCCTCAACGGCCCGTTTTTCTCTTCTCTGTCTATGTGGCTCCAGACACATCGCTAAACCGCTGGACAAGGCAGCCGCTAAACATCCCTTTTTTTAAGCACTTCGCCCGTCTTTATCCAAAAGACGACGTTCCCGTTTGCGGTGATCTTAATGCCAAACACACGCATGGGGCTACGACATTGACCTTCCCCACGGCACGCGGCTTCTTGCAGACCTCACAGGGCTGAAACTTTCGTTCCTCAACATCCCAGACACCCCCACACGTATCAAACAATCCTCCCAACAGCAGGACACCTGCCCCGACTTTACCTGTGCTCGTTACCCTCGACGCTGGAGATGGCATGTCGCCGGCGACCGCCTCGGCGGTGATCACCTCCCCATTATTTTACGCTACGACTTCCTATCCGCAACCCTATCTCACTGTCGCGCCTGCTGCGACACATTCTTCACTAAGTGGGACAACTTCCGAGCAGCTCTTTCTTCTGTCATGGAACTTGCTGGCTTTTCCGACATTATACAAGCTATCCAGTCCGCCCACAAGTCTGCCACAAAGCGGCTAACCGTACCGGACGATGCCGCTTTGACGAGCATTTACTTACTGGACCGCCGCATTCACCTGTTGGCCTGTTACCGCCGTTCTCGCAGACCACGACGACTCCTCAAACCTTCACATAAACTCCAAAAGACTATCTCGTGCTACACTTCGGAACTCGCTTCCAACTGCTGGACTTCCCTGTGCAGATCCATCTCCGGCAATAGCCATCTTTCGAAAGTTTGAAGGCTCCTCCGTTCTCTCCTCGGGGACCACAAACCTAGGCAATTTGCTGCCACTGTTGCCCTTCGCAAAGGTGTCTCTCCCGAGGAGCTAGCTGAACGGGCCTCGGACGTCTTTTTTCCGCAACCAGCGCAACATGACTCTGGATGCTACACTTGTGTTCACCCTGTCACCAAGCTCTTGGGATGGATTGCCCGTTCACCCTCCACTCGCAGTGCACCTGGCCCCCAACAACGTCACAGTCGGGCAACTTCAGAACCTCCCTACGGCACTCAAGGAAACCATACTCGCCGAGATCAACCAGGTGACTCCAGACTACTGAAGCCCCAGGAGTCCCTGATCGCTGCCACTTGTCTCATTCGCCCTGGAAGCTCCCGAGAAGATTAAAAGCTTTTCCTCTTTTTATGCCCAAACAGCAGGGCAGATATGGTGGCCACTTCTTTGGTCGTTAAATAAATGTTTCAAAGCAAAGGTAGATGGTCATGATGAAAGAAATCAAGGACGTTAGGATTCCTGTCAGAAGTACTCAACGCAATAAAATGTTGTCCAAACTTGCCAGGTTTTAATTTTAGATTGGTTGCACACTACACGACAGAGTAGCGAGCATTTGATTATTCTTAATTTTTAACTAGGACTGATTAAATTAATTTCAATACTTTTGGATGTTTTATTTTAATACACACATATCCTCTAAAAAGGGCGGAAATGTAGTGGTTAATAAAGAAAAATAGACGTAATGGTGGGGCCACAGTCGACTCCTAGCAGAACTGTTTGGTGGGGCAACAGGCAGACTGAGATTAAAGCCCCTCTATCCTGGGAAAAGTGGCGCCATTCATTGTTGTGGAAATTCTCAAGACACGTACCGTGTGCCACTTCTGGGAAGGACATGGCGTCTGAAATCTAGCTCAGTGCTGCGCTGTGTCGCCATGATCTTCCCAAGGGCTGCATGTTGCACGTGCCTCGTGCATCGACGCACTTTGCGCTACTTTTAAAACATGAAGGGGCTTTAACTGAGATGCCATTGCGTGTGCCACAGGCAAAAATTCAAGATGTTGAAAACAAGCTGTTGCATTGTAAATTGTGCGAATTACTAAAATTCTCCGTCAATATGCCCCAGCAAATGAAGATTAGAGGGTTTACAGATTAAACCAAAGGAAGATGTCTGTCACCCCAGAGGAAGAACATGTGGGGACCTTGACGTGCAACCAAAATTTCACCATCAATAGCGCTGAAATCAGTAACGACACTACCGTAAACCAATTTTGCTCCCAGGTGGGCCGCCGGAAGCGGCGTTGGTAGCCACAGCACATGGTCGTTGTTGGAACTTTCGCGCATAATGCAGAAGAGGATCATGCCCTCTTTAGGTGTCACACGCTCTCATACCATCTTTAGTGTTTGTGTGTATGGCGCGTGCTTTGGACGGTTTCACAACTGACGACCACGCGCATGCTAGGCTGTGAAGATTACACGCTGGGGCGTGGGTTTGTAAACAATGGAAAAGTGTATGAAATTTAGCATGCACAGTGCACAAACTCTATTTTCAGTACACAAATATTGCGACTACTATATCGGACAGAGGTACGCGCTACAGTTTGCAACAAATTCTTGTGCCGACATGAGCAGTCTGAGGCATTCCAACTACTTGTCATGACAGCCACTTTCAGTTCACAAAAGTTGGTTTATTATATGTTCTCCAAGTCTTTGGCATTAAAAATGAGGTTGATTCCTTTGTGACACTGCCGTGCCGGGCTGTGGCCGGCGGTGAAACTGCACAGCCCACCAGCGACGGCAAGCAACCAACTGAGCGTCCAGAGCTAGGAACCAAAAGGCACCTTTATCACACGAGGCAATGGCTTTTTACACAAGACGTGGGCACAGTGTTTGCAACCCGATTACCGAAAGTGTCCAAACTTGGCACTAGCACCGCCCGCAAAATCCCCCCTTTAGAATGTTCAAGGAGAGTATCGGACACCTTGGCTGTGAAAAAAAACAAAGTTTTACAGATTGAGTCTCTTGGGAGCGACCACTTGTCTTCCAGAATGGGTTGAGTAGTGTCGGCCCGTACCATCACCACGAACACGTGGTGGTGATGCTGGACGAGGCACATCACGATGACGCGAGTAGACAGGTCCACCTGAGGCCGAACCGTCGACGGAAGCTAGGGGTGACGCCGGCCTCGGAGAGACACAACAGCACCTGCCGCAGGCGTTGGTCATGTTCCTTTTTCGTTCTGCCGAAGACTAGGATGTCGTCGACCATGTTGACCAATCCGTCTAGGACTTCCAAGATCCACGCCACCTGTCGCTGGAAAAACTCAGGGGCCGACGTGATGCCAAATGGGAGTCGGCAAAAGCAATAACGCCCATACGGCGTAATGAACATCGTAAGCTCTTGAGAGTCCTTGGAAAGCTTGACCTGATGGAAGCTTGAGGTAACTTTGAGCTTCGAGAAGACTGCCGCATCGCCCAGAAGTCCCAGGACTTGATCGACGGTGGGGAGCACATGACGTTCTCTCGGGACAACTTGATTTAATTTTGTAAAGTCGATACAGACACGGTAACCTCCCGACGACTTTGGAACCATGAACAGTCCAGCGTCCCGAGGTGTGGGGTTGGTGACACGCCGAATGGCTCCGTCTTGCTCCAGTTTGGCCAGTTCTGTTTGCACCACCTCGCGCAGGGGTATCGGTATGCGGCATGGAACACTAAGTGAAAACGGAACCGCATCCGGGCGTAGCCGAATCTTGTACTCCTCCTTGAGCGTGCCGAGACCTCTGAAAAGTCCCTGCGGTGCCGGCACTTTCATGTCGTCCAAGAACTTTACCACACCCAGAGCCTGGATGGCTGGGAACCCGAGCAGGGGCATAGAGAGGGACTTGATCACGTACAGACGCTGATGACCGGTCTTGCCTCGCCACAGGAGGGTAGCCATGAAGTACCCAATGACTTTTAGCGACTGGTCTCCTGGTGCTGTCAGCAGGTCGTCGACCTTGTCCAGATGATGAGGTAAGTTCGGGAAGGCTTCCGAAACAGCAGACGCCTCCGCGCCGGAATCTACCTTGAATATCGCCGTGTAGTTGTCGACATTGACCTCAACGTACTTGGCCTTGGCCTTCTCAGTCTCGAGGATTGCGTGGAGCGGTAAGGAACGCCACCTTGCTCTGCTTTCGTTTCCGAGCGCAACAGACGTCCGCGAAGTGGCCCTTCTTCTTGCAATAATTGCACAGAGACTGCCGAGCAGGACAGTCTGAGCGTGTGTGGGGGGCCCGACTGCAGTAGCTGCAGGAACCTGGGTCGTTATCGCCAAGTGAAGACACTGCTGATGCGTCGTCTGACCGTTTTGTTGTCTTGCGTTGGTGCGTCGGACCATGACAAGACTTGGTGGCGTCAACGTTGACGGTGACCTGGACACTCTCGACTCCCGCGAGCAGTTTTTTTCTTTTTCGGCGTCTTCGATCTGCCTCACCTGCGTCCACGCGTCCTTGAGGCTGAGCTTGGCTTTCCAGCAGAGCTGGCCGGACAGGCGTTCGTCGCAAAGACCAACAACGAACCGGTCGCGAACCAGGCGTTCTTCGACTTTGGGGGACGGGTAGTTGCACCACTTGACAAGCTTGCAGAGCTCGGCGTAGTAACTGTCGACGCTCTCTCCCGGCTGCTGAACCCGCTCGTGGAACCTCGAGGACTCTTACACCTCGTTGACGGGGTACAGGAAGTGTTCCGAGAAGCGCTTGACCACCGTGTTGTAGTTGTTCAGGGAGGCGGCGTTCAAGCCGAACATGTCGAGAAGGACCCGAGCCTCGGGGCCCATGCAGTAGAGAAGTGTCCGCACCTGAATGTCCGGTGGTGCTTGGCGAAGTACGGAGGCATAAGCGTACTCCTCGAGTTGCGTAAACCGGGTAGGCCAAGAACCGGTGTTGTCGAAGTCGAAACCAGCAGGCTGACGTACGGAGCCGCCCACCCACGCGGGCAGTGTTTGCAACCCGATTACCAAAAGTGTCCAAACTTGGCACTAGAACCGCCCACAACAGACACTACAATTTTATGATCAACACTCAGTCTTTCCGATATTTAAAAAAAAAGTCTGTCAGGCGTGGCACCATAACGTTCACCCAGAGTGCCTCATCAAAGGGCACCCGTGTGACCCAGCAGTCTTTCGCCCAGTCAACAACAAGGTCACACCACTCCAGTCCTGTGAGCGCAAGTTGTCCTGTCACCTGGTAGTAGTGCTTGTGCTTTTTGTCGACACTCTTGTCCGCATGGATAAACTCCACAAACCCTCTGCTCATCACCTCCTCGAAGGTCGTCAGGTTCGCATCTATCGCCCGTGACACGGTCTTCACTTCGACTAGTCCGTACTCCTGTATATCTTCGTCCCAGACCAGCCCGTCTGGTGATGCCCCCAGCATGGGAAGGCCAGGGTTGATGCAAAGGCCAACACTGAAGACTTGGACCTTTTGCTTGGCCTTGTAGCGCTTCAGAGCAGCCGCCTCATTCTGAAGTCCCGCCCTCATGTGACGTGTCGTGCCATGTCCGCCCGAGAAAATCGTCCTGAGAAACTTTTCGTTCACGGGTGCTTGTCGTTTGACGATGTCTCCGAACTGTGATGCCGTGATCCTTTTCTCACGTTCCGTGTGCCACAGCATACTTCTGCTTTGGCCACGTGTCTGTTCCTCCAGGTGCTGAGCTTGTGTAAGAGTCAGGGTGCATGGATCGCTTGGTGGCATCTGGTGATTCCAGCACTCTTTTATGGGCAAGCTGATCCGTGCTGCAGAGGCCCCATCATCCGTGTTCGAGTGCTCCTGAACCTTCCTTGGCAAGGGTGTGAAGGCAGCTTCTTCCATCACGTCCGCAAACATTGGGAATATTCCCTTCTCAATGAAATCTGTATGCAGCCTCTTGACGGTTGCCTGCGCCACGTCCACATGCACTTCCGTGGTTTTTCTCGCACTCTTCGCCTTGTTGCTAGAGTCGTGCTTGACGAATTCTAGTTCGTTGAACGACACCGTACTTGCACCTCTCTTTGAAGATGGGCCCCACTGCCTTGCTCCCTCAGTGCAGGCCAGAGCATCCGGGATGTAGGACCTTCCCTCCCTTATCAGGTCTAGCATGTGCCAAAGCAGTGCTGCCACATGCTTGCACACACCGCCTTGTCCAGCCTTGCAGGAACAGGAAGCCTTGCTGACCTGCCCATCTTGGCAGAGCACAGCATGCACTGCGTATCGCTTCGTAAGGGTCATGGAAGCCTCCACGTTAGCCTTGACAATTGTCTCTGATGCACTTGTGGTGTGGAGGAAGATGTTCTGCACTTTGTGGGCCTTGAACATTTTGTAGCCAGAACTTGTGTGCTTCTGTGCTCCAGCTGCTTGGCCATGCCCTTGGATGTGGCTTTCCGAGAATGCGGAAGGAAAGTCCTTCAGCTGCTTGGTCCAAGGTCCTGCTGGAAGTGGTAGCTCTTGCGGCTCTGGTACATCCCGTGTCGCCATAGCCTTCCCTGAAAAAAAGGCAGCTCAGTCAGCGTTTTAAAAGGAGGACGGAAATTTGACCAACACAGTTTTTTAATGGGTTTGGTGTTGTTTTGACAGAATTAACCTAAACTTGCGAAGTAAGAGTTCATCTAGGGTAACAACCCCTCAAAAAAAGCCTGCTGTAAACTTTGTGCTAAAAAAAGAGCGTTTGCTATTAGGCAAACATGCCAGCTTTTGTAATCTACAACTTCTTGTGCACTTTCGAACATTACACAGTCGAAGGAGCATTCTGAAAGCAAGCCACGCACTGGCATTGGGGACAAGCATCTCCAGTGTCACTGAGCTGCTTGTTGCTGCTGCCCTGTCAGTGTCCA